TTGAACTTCATGAGGTTCCTCTCCGCCCACCTCTCCAGCCTGTCCAGGTCCCTCTGAATGGCAGCACAGTCTTCTGGTGTGTTAGCCTCTCCCCCCAGTTTAGTATCATCAGCAAACTTGCTGAGGGTGCACTCTGTCCCTTCCTCCAGGTCACTGAGGAATGTGTTGAACAAGACTGGACCCAGGACTGACCCCTGCGGGACACCCACCGCTAGCTACAGGCCTCCAACTAGATTCTGAGGCCTCCAAATGAGGCCAGCCTCTTCTCCGTGGTGCCCAGCAACAGGACAAGAGGCAATGGGCAGAAACTGAACCACAGGAAGTTCCACCTGAACCTGAGAAAAAACTTCTTCACTGTGAGGGTGACAGAGCATTGGCACAGGTTGCCCAGAGAGGTGGTGGAGTCTCCTTCCCTGGGGATATTCAAAACCCGTCTGGATGTGATCCTGGGCAATATGCTCTAGGTGACCCTGCTTGAACAGGGAGGTTGGACGAGATGATCTCCAGAGGTCCCTTCCAACCTAAACGATTCTGTGAAAACTGAGCACCTGTTGGTTATGCATACTTTAGGTGTGGCACACGATCTTTTAACAAAGAAGTGTCTACACAATAAAGCAAGCTAATGAGAAGAGATTTATCTGAAACTTTCTATGCTCTAATAGTAGTAATGAATGGAATTATTTTGAATTGAGTTTATCAAATTGTTCTCTGTTTATAATTATAGAGCTCTGCTGGGAAACACTCCAGTCCTGGACTCCTGCTCCTATTCAGTGTTCTGAGTGCCTTTGCTGCCTCTGCTGCTGTGTCAAAGTGGTCTGTGTGAACTTCTGAAGATGTGCTTGGTGTGCTAGACATGGATTATACTCTGTAATATTAGATTAATTACTTGATGTAAGAAAAAAAATCCTTAAGTCAAATTGGCATATGTTATTTGGCTGTTATGTTGTACATCCGGTTAACATGCCATGCCTCTGATTAGTTTACCTTTAGTTTTAGTAATTCGTAGGCATCATTAGTTTTATCAGTATTTTAGACATCATTTTAAGAGAGCGTATTGTGCCCTACCTATATGATTTTTTTTATTTCCAATTAGGAATGTGATGAATACCTAACTGAAATTTGATTTGTTCCGAAACTATTTGGTTACTAACCAAAAAGGGAGGTGAGGGGGATCAAACAAATTGCCAACTGAGCACTGCCACTGGTCGTCATCACATAAAATGAAGGTAGATGTAATTTCTGGTGAGCAGCCCTCCATGAGACAGAAGGAGAGGCTAAGATAATATCAGAGTGTTGTTTTAGTCTATTGTAGTTAACTTCAAGTTCAATATGGAGGATGCAAAGCAGAACAAATATTTCATGACTTTGGGGAGCATGTTAAACTTCATCCATCGGAGAAGTCAGACAGCCTAGAGCAAAGAAATATTAAACTCTGTTCAAACCAACTGCAAATGGCTAGAGTTCTGTAGAGCAGCATAGAAAGCAGTGTAATCCAGATTAGCCTGATAGCCATTAAAGTGCTGGAAAACAACATTTTCATTGGGAATGCACGGTAATTTAATTAAGTTCATCAAACCGATAGAATCCTGGGATTGGCTCCTTTTCTCAAGTATTTTGTCTAACCTGTGATACCTGATGTCTCTGCAAGTTTAATTTCAAGAATGATGCTGAAAGCCACACAGTAGAGTAAATGGGGTCGCAGAAAATCACGGCCAGTCTTTGGCTTCAAGAACAGTTCCACATTTTGCAGCAAATTCTTTTGGAACTGGTCGAGTGGTCTTCTGTTGGTGTACTGACCAGTGCACTGGCGTGTAGTTAATAGTAGTGTGTTCACTGTATTAATAATAATACATGTTATATAGTATTACCCCAATACAACTACTTTAACAGTTTCAACTGCATGGTAGGCTAGTGCTTGATGTTAACAAAGTGCATTCTTTGAAAAGACACTTCTAATTAATGTTTTATTGAACACTGTGCCTAGTATTAAAATTGTATTTGTTACTAATATGCTGAAATTTTTCTCCAGCCGTTTACAGTTATAATTAGTGAAATCTATTTCACATTCAAACTATGCTACTACCCCCAGTGGGGCCAGGATTCCAGCCGTTTGCCCTATGCTCCGCAAGAGGCACTGTGCATGGTCAACAAACAGCAAATCCACCTCACTGCCTGAAGCCTTAACGCAGGCCTCAGAGGAGTTCTGCCCAAATTCGATCTTAAGGAGCTGGCGGGCAGTTCTTTCGCTCCGCAGCGCCCTGGCGTACACGGCGAGCGCTCTCTGTAAACCTTCCCTAGCTCCATCTGAATCCGCGCTGCACTTCTGTAATAAATTCATCATGGATTTCATACAGCACATTCCCGTGTCGTTCACTGTAGAAATGCCAGTATGAAAAGATTAGTTTCAATGAAGCGAATAATTTTGTTTCCGAAGGGCAGAAAAAGTGGCAGGTGTCTAAGCGGCGGGGCGGCCCCCCTGCGCGCCCCAACGGCCCCAACGGTCGCGGCGGCGGCCCCAGCGGGAGCGCCAGGGCCGAAGGCAGGAAAAGCAGCCGGGGCGAATACCTTTT